AATTAAGAATTTAAAACTTGTATACTATTAAAATATGGATTATTAGCTAAGATTTTATGCTATAATAATTTGTATAGTTTAATAAAAGTAGTTTAATAAAATTTTGAATGTAAGACACTAAAACTGTGTCATGCGCAGTAAAATGTCATTGTATTCTTTGGTTCATTGTCATTTTCCTCCTCGTACATTTTTATCCTTCCCTTTTTTTTTTATTGTTATTGTTTGTTCTTGTAATTTTCTCATATGTATTAGTTTCACCTTGTAGCTTTCACTGTTGCTGAGTTCTCAAAAAGATATCCTCGAAACATTCCAAATCAAGCACAATCTTGTGGTGGATCAGCTTACTAAACTTAGTCTTGTACCAAAACACCTCTTTCCAAGCTCTACCCTGACAAAGACATCCTCTGGGAAGAGGTCTTCAAGTTCTTGTGGATCAAATGTAGGAATTAGCCACAATAGACAAGGAACTGTCCCAGGGGTATGAATCTTTTTTTTACCTTTTTGTTTCATTGAAGATTATTTAAACATTTTGCTGTTTGTGCATCAATGATCTTAGAAAAACACATAGGTTCAAGAAATTGGTTCAACACAAAGATATGAAACCCTGTAAAGTAATATGAATGCTTTTGAAAGGTTCACCTTTTGAAAGTACTCATTTTATAGGGTTTCATATCTCTGTTTTGTTATTTGTGCAGTAATTCAAGTATATTTCCTGTGATTGTCAGATTGACTGAGAAAATTTAAATTCTGATTCTAAACAAATTTTTGATGATTAATATGTTGTTGAAATATTTGTTCAAATGATTGTTTTTGAATTTTCAGTTTTAATATAGTAGTATCTGTATCTTTTGAGTCAACATTAAAACAAAAATCTTCTGCCCAAATAACTTATATGCTACTACAGAAACCAAATGTTGAATTCATCTTTGGAATTGAGTACATTCATAAATGTTCATCCAAACAGTAATTGTACCTCAATTTGTGTTGTATCAGTTTTGAGCACCTTGTTACCATAGTCACTGAAGAATATATTTTAAAGTTGTTGTTTTTTTATCTCCTTAATCTTTTGTGCTGTATTCCTAATGTTTTTTACAGAATTCTCAGTCACCAAATCAAAAGGCATTTATTAAGTCCAAGTATTTAGGAGAAAGTCTGTACTATGTCGAAGATAATTATATAGCAGTAGATGTACTTGACATTTCAGTTAATAAGGGAGATGTCGTTGGGGTGATCAAACAGCAGGATCCAATGGGAAGTGAACACCGCTGGTTTATAGACAATGGAAGTAAGTGAACGTAAGAATTCTTGTTTGAAATAATTCATTCCAAGTCAGACTTCCTTATTCCAGTTGAAGACTGTGGTTACACTTGCATTATTAGGCTTGATATCTAGAAGCCATTATAATAAGTACATGTAGTTAGTTGTAAATTTTGTTATGATTGAGAGAATTTTAAAATTGGTTGAATTACTTCAGAGCTATTTTTAGATTACATCTGTGATAACATTTCTTTTTCTTTTAAAAAATGTTTACTGGCAGAATGCTTTAAAGAAGAATTGTAATTCTTTATTAGTTATTTTTTCCATCAGTAAGTAAAAAAAAACAGGACATTGTTCATACTTTCATATTGTTTAAAAGAAACTTGTATTTTCATACACTTTAATATTCAGCCATAACATAACACACAACTGTGTGTTAATTTTTCAGCAAACAAAGGTTATATAAAAAAAAATTGCTGTAAAATGTTTTGATTCTATATAAAGATTAAGTTATAAACATTAATACTTTCATCAGGCAACAGTGTTAATATTTACATGGTAATTGACTGTTTTGTATTTTCTGTTTTAAATTCATTTTAAAATAAAGGCTTGATCAGTAGACATGATTAGAACTCTTGCTTGCAAATCCAAAGTAAAGTGTGTTTAAAACAGTTTAATAGGTTAGTAAACCACATAAATACATACAAGAAAACTGTCACACTAACATCATTGCTGCATTCCAGTGATAATTATTGTTAGATCACCTATATCTCTTCTGTAAAATATACTTAATTCTGAAATTGCTTCAGTCGTTTTTTGTGAATTTATCCACAACTAAGATTGAAATTCATCAGTGATGGTTTAATTTTTTTGAAAACCCTACCAGTTTTTTGATACAGTAAATCTTCTTTTCTAAATATCACATTAAACAATTTGTTACTGCAATATGAAATAAGAAATTTGTTATTATTTGGGTGATGGGTGGAGGTCTTTTAAAAAAAAAAGCATTTGTAGGTTATAGTTTTATGAAATATCTTTTTAATTTATTATTCACTAATTGCATTTTTTTGTACATTTTTAGGTGTTAAAGGTTTTGTACCTGCAAAGGTTTTAGCCAAGTTTAGCCAAGTTTCAAATTCAACTCAAGTAAATGATTATAGTGATAGATATCAGACATCTTTTCATGAAGAAAAACACAGTCCTCACACAAAAGAAGATGTTTCACCTCATGACCTTAGTGTTCAAGAAGAGCCTACTAGTTTGAACAGTGATGCACCCTCAAATAGCAGCACAGATCTTTTCGTTTATGAGAATATAGATACAAAAAGACTTGATCATTCTAACCTAATAGCTCCATCTCTAAGTAAGTTACCAAGTGATGAGTCAGGAAACTACTGTCCTGGTTTTCAAGATCATTTATTAACACAACAGATAAGTACAAGTGAAAGTGAAGATCAAACTCCAGTAGTGAGCCAAAGTTACTCAGAAGAACCATTTGAAAATTTAGAAATTGAAGTAAGTGCTTCAGTCAGTCATATCTATAAGGTTTTGATAAAGACAGATTGTGAAGTATTTAATATTAGCATAACTTGATTTTTCTAATCCATTACCAAATCTTCATCTGAGCAAGCTTTGAGATTGGTAATTTTTCCTTCTGTAATTTATTTCGAAGGTTGAGCCACAAATGTGGCTCTCATTATTTTTTGGTAAGTGAGAGTAAATTTGGGATTAAAATGTTTTTCAATGTATATGAAAAAAACTACAGCTTATTGACTGCAAAATATTTCTATGTTTTATTTTTCTGTATTAAAAATCAACAAAAATTGAAAGGTTAAAGGTCTTTTATATTTTTTTGATGTATTAAACTAAAGCATTTGCAACAGTTGAAATCTTTCAGCTTTCATGTGTTAAACTATAGAATATTGTTGATGGTTAAAGGTAGAAAGTTAAGATTACCATCTTTTTTTGTGTTAAACTACAACAGGCAAGGGATTTAAAGCCTTTCAGCATTATGCATTTAATTAGCATCTTGTAACCATGAAATATAACTGAATAAACTAAGGGTATCTTCACAAAATGTTGTGCACAGAAAAATTACATTTTTTAATTTATGAAGTCTTACCGAGTCAATCTGAATTATTTTAATGTTAAGAATAAAAATACTTCATCTTACAAATTTTGTATTTCATTTGCTTAACCTCTAGGATCCTAAATGAATATCAAAAAGTTTTCTACTGGTAAAACTATATGTTTTCTTTCTTATAATTCTTTATCCTAATACTAACTGCAGCAAAATTATGTATAGTGAAAATTAAAAAGTGAAAAATATAATTAAAAATAATTTTTCTAGAATGACTGCAGACAGTAAAAAAACAATTGCAGTTATTTAATCTAAACAGCCTCAGGCTTGTAATAGTCTACATCTGTTTTTATTTAACTTTATTTTTGTTGTTCTTTGAACTATATTTGACTAGCATAATATGGCAATAAATCTCCCAGTGAGGGCTCAGTGGAGGCTATGGCAAACAATGTATTAAGTCACATCATGCAAAGTGCTGTCTGTGTGCATTTGTCAAGATTAAATAAAAAAAGAAAAACTTTTTAAGTTTTCCTACCTAGCCTAATAAGTTGTTCAAAATATATAGCAATAAATATAAAAACCAGGAAATTTTGTACTTTAACCTTGAAACCTTTTGCATGGGGATGTGTGGTTTAGTGAAATTATTTTTTTTCTCACTGTGTTGGTTGTCGAGAAATACTTTGTGCTTTCAATTATTCATTTTAGAGCGCACAAAATACATCATATACTAGATCAGAACTTTCAAAAACTACTATAATTTATCAAATTTTCTAACTAACGTATAAATAGGTTAGAAAAATTTCATTACTTCTTAGAGCAATGTTTTCAATCCAAACACAGCAAGTTCAATTCTCACAGTGAATTATCTGAACTACATAGTGTAGGATTTTCTCTTGCCATTAGTTATTAGCATGTCCATTAACAATATCAGAGAGAAATACATTTTTTAAAAGACAGAAGATATGCGAGGGACATGTCAGTGTGGGTTGAATAACTATAGTGAAATCTCAGTAAAGCAAGAAGATGAGAGGTTAAAATTTATATTTTGGCTTTTAAGTGTGTAGATTGTGTTACTAATTCATTAAAACAATCTGAATCCCTTGTAAGGGAAGAGAAAAAAAATTTATAAATGAGAAGTTACGGTGCCACCAAGTTAAGTGATCGAGAGGTCCAGATAGAGAAGTTATTTAAAAATTTCATTTTGCAATTAAAAAATTAACTTAGATAATTTAAAAATCTGAATTATAAAGTATGTTTTGATGTCAAGGCTTACTGACATCCATTGATAATAAAGTAGTTTAAATTTGAAATGTAATTCTGTAAAAAGGTGATGTGTACACTTTGATCCACCCATATCCATAGTATTAAAGTTTTATCTTCCATGTGAGTACCATGAAAAAAACAAACTAAGAAAGTTTTCCATGTTTTTTGCTTGCATTTCCTAAATTTCCACTGCCTTTAGCCTTTTTTTTTTAAATTCACCTTATGTTGATTTCTGCCTGTTTAGTTTTGTTAAGAAAATGTAGTGTTTGAAACACATACTTTTGTTACAAAGCTCTTTTATGGGAAATCTAAAATTTAGGAATGGAGATGTAAATTACTGAATGGTAATTTTCTTAGAATGCTCATTTTCTTCCACACACTTTCACTAATTTTTTTAAATAAAATTATCTTAAGCAAACTTGCAAGTATACATCTTCTAAATAATATTATGAATATATTATAATTCAACTATCTGTAACTTCAGAAGTCGAGTTTACTGTTTTAAAATTTATTTAATCATTATCAGTTGTATTTTCATATTCCAAGTTCATTGTTTTTGTTGATTTTTTTATTTTCATATTCCAAGTTCTTTGTTTTGTGAAATTTTTATTTTCATATTCCAAGTTCATTGTTTTGTTGATTTTTTTATTTTCATATTCCAAGTTTATTGTTTTTGTTGATTTCATATTTTTCATATTCCAAGTTCATTGTTTTTGTTGATTTTTTATTTTCATATTCCGAGTTCATTGTTTTTGTTGATTTTTTATTTTCATATTCTGAGTTCATTGTTTTTGTTGATTTTTTATTTTCATATTCCAAGTTCATTGTTTTTTGTTGTTGTTTTTGCCACTGTTAATATAAAAATTGTGAATAATCAGTTTTTATACAACAGTTTAAACTTGTTTGTTTTAATGTTTTGATTAATTACATACAATGTGTGTATACCACCACTGACTACATATATGTTATATCTATGTCACAAATACAGTTAAAATTTTATGTTGTTAGTACCAGTCTAACAAACTTCATTAATGTAGTGTTATATTTCTTTTCCCTATTACAGTATTATTATGCAGCATATCCATTTGGAGCCATGGGACCTTATCAGTTAACTCTGGCTCTGGGACAGGTGGTGGTGGTTTTACATAAAGGTGACCTAGAAGGCAATCCTGAATGGTGGTTTGTTGGAGACAGGTTTGGGAATGAAGGTTATGTTCCATCAAGCTATCTCAAAAAGTATACTGATTAACATTAATCAGTGTGAATATTGTGGTTCTGGAAGATTGCCCAGTTAAAAAGAACATTTAATACTTACATATAAATGAAGCTCACTGCGTACTAAAATATGTTATTGTTTTTCTGAATAAAACAAAATTATCAAAAGTTGGTATGTTTTTGTTGTTGTTCGTTTAGCTTCCAGAGTTTATGTTTTTAAAAAAAGTATGTTACACTTCAATAATGAAATGCTTGAGCTTTTTGGATGTGAAAACATTGAGTCATGTATAGTTTTCATTTACACTTCCTGTTAACTGAAAATATTGATTGTACATATAAATGATGGTTTTATTCTCCCTTTTTTTTATTAAGGTTGAACAATAATGCTTTCAAAACATTTATTTTTGGAAACTCAAAACATTGATGAATGTTTCAGACTAATTAATTCATAAAACAAAAAGCTATACTTTTTTTGTATGTTGGTGTTCCATCAAGTGAAATTATTGAAAACATTAAGACAAAAGTTTAAAAAATGTTGCTTTTTACTTGATGTTAACATTTGATTTGTCAAGTTCTGTGGAATTTTTGTATTATTTATCTTTCTGGTTTCTCCATTAAACTTTTAAAGTACTTATAAAGCTTTGTTAACTTCTGCTTTTAAATTGGAGAAAGTTTCTTTATCTTTCTCTTTTTACTGATTACTAAAATAATTAATGCTATTGCATGTTAAAATTTAAAAAAAGATTGTTTTACTTGACAGACTTGTGAATTTTATTTAGATCAGAATTGTGTGTAAATGTACCTTTAGTTGTTTGTTGGCCAATACTTTTGAACTATTCTGTATGATAACTTCAAAAAAAATTCAGAATTCCTATGTGGAATAGTGTTTCACCAAATTTGAAAAATATTTATAAATAATTCTTATTAAATTTTTTGTTTTCCTGTAAAATGTGTAATTACCTTTCTTTTTGACATACTTGGAATTCTAATAACTGTATAAAAGATAAAGTCCTCCAGAATAAAGTTTAAATTATCTATAGAATGAAATAGATTTTAGATATTTTTTTGCATCAGCTATTAATATTTCCATTTAAACTATTGTTAAATTTGACACCTTTATACATTTTCTTTAAAAGAGATGTACACATTTCTCATATTTCATTCACTTAAAAATTAAGTTATTTTTTTAGGTTTTATTTTTTGTCTCCTATTGAAAATCTAAGAATAATGCAAAATAAGTTTTTGAACTAAAAGTTTCAAGCTTCAACAGCTTGTAAAAATGAATATATAATAACATTTAAATCTTATAAAATTGAAAATTAGAATAATTATGTAAAAACTCAAATTTTCACTTGATAGTATGTTTGTATAAAATACTGCTTCTATTTTAACATAATCTAATCTTAAAGTACTCAATTTATATCTTGGAAGATACTAAAATGCTTGATGAAAATTCATAGTCTGTATTTTTTTAAGAAATTGTTTTGTGGCATGTCAATAACGTTTAATCATTTACATCTGTAATAGTTAGCTTGGATGTTTTTCAAAGTTTTTTTTTTAAATTTTTCTAAAGAAAATGTGGAGTTACTCCTTAACCTCAAATAATGTTGTTTTCATAAGACATTAGCGTAAATACTACTTAAATGCTTTGATGTTTTAGGGTAGAATGTAAATGTAGATTTATGTACATGCTCCTTCAATATAATTGACAAAACAATTAAATTATGAACTTATGAATGTCAGTAATTCAAATATATTCAAACTACTTTGGAAGAAGGTAAGAGGATGTAATGAGATCTTAAAACCCAGGTTAGTATTATTATAAATTTCATACAGCTTTTACACTGGCGATGGTATCGGCATGGGTATGAACTGTTCATTGTATATTTTTTTGTTTAATAAATAAAATATTTTATTTCATTGGCCTAAACACGATTCTAAAGCTAACTCCTTTTAAAGTCCAATATTCCAACGTTGTGTTTACTCATTTATTAATACTTAATATTTGTTGAAGTATTTTATGGTGTATTGGTGGAATTATAAAGGAAAATTTAAAACGTGAGTGGTTTTATCTAGTGAGTATAATTGCCATTGTTAAGGTTATTAAAAACTTGGTCTATCCAAGATGGGCAGTTTAATCATTATAAGAGGGAGCAACTGTTTTTATGTACTCACAGAGATTGGTTATCAGCAACTTCGACTTGTGAACATTTGTGACATATCTCGGCTGAATTATTAAGAACGCAAATACAGAAGCATAGTGAAAGTTCTCTCTTTGAGATTACACATTATATACAGTAATTTAGTATAAAACGCCTAACGAAACAATGTATACACAAAAATCCTTAACGTTCATTGTATGTTTTATATATTCTAATTGTACATGTATTCTTAACAAGAAGTAATGTTGTACTTTCTGTGACTTTTAAATGCTGTGAAAAAAAAGAAAGAAAACAGGCGATATATGTGTGTGAGTGTGTTTACTACACATGTGTATAACAAAGTTTCAACGTTAAGTAACTATGTTGGGACAACCGGGCGAAATAAGAGCAGAGATTCAGTTGAACGAGCCTGCAGTTTTAACAGACCGTATACAGACACAGGTATACATAAACTATGAAAAGCTGTAAATGCACTGAGACACTGTGAAGTGTTTTTGAAAAGAATAACGAGCCTATTTTTCTTTCTGAGAAGTCTGAAACTATTTGATGTTGAAACTCCATTAAACTAACTTATATTACATAGTGCCACTTAGTTCATGCAAGGTTCCTCATTCGTCTGCCAAAGACCAACGAAGTGACTCTTCCTCAGCCAGAGGACTTAAACAGTCAATCAGCACTTGGAGCTATGTTCTTTTATGACAGATAAACTACAACTCGTATATTAAAAAAAAAAAAGATTTGTCTTATTTTTTCTTTCCTCGTAATGGTTTTAGATAAAAAAGATTTGGTATATAAAAATGAATACTGTGTTTAAACTGCTCGCAAGGAGCTATTAATCTTTTAAAGCGTGATTGTGTAGTTAGATATCTACGCCAAGTGTGTGACACTTATAATATATTACAAAATGGATACATCGTTAAGTAATCGATATTTAAACCACTATTTTAATAAGTTTAGTTATTTCACAATGTATATGATAAATATTGTCCTCCAATGGCTCAACAATAAGTTTGGGAGCTTATAACGCTAAAATTTGGAGTTCGATTCCCCTCGGTGGATACAGCTCGGATAAAACAATGTGTTGCTTTGCACTTAATATTAATACATTTATAAGACACTCCCAAATATCAGACGTAGTTAGTATACTGTTGAAACAAAATCATTATTATTCAAGATACTGATCTTTATAACTTTTACTGATACTTATAAAAGTTATTTTTTTTATAAAGTTATAAATGTTATTTTTATTATTTTAATATAAAAATAATACAAAAAAAGCAGTTTAAGATGCGATCCAACCAAATATTTTTCAACAAACAATCTAAAGTTTGTTGAATTATTCTATATTTTACCATTAAATGAAAAAGAAACGCGTCTTCTTGAGATACGACTTACCAAGCTGTCGGCTACACGAAGATCTACGAACAAAAAAAGTTGTACCTTCAGTTTAATAACTGCTATCACAAACACGCACTGCTAGAAATAACTAGTTATTCTTGATTTCACTTTCTTTTTTTACCATGTTTGAATATATATATACGCTTTTAAATATGAAGGGCGAATGAAACCTGGTTATGCTTTAAAGCCCACAAAGCAACTTTAGGCTATATCTTCATTTAATCATAAAAAGTGTTGTTTTTGGCTTTTCTTTGCATATAGACGCTTGATACATTAAGAACGACTGAAATAATAATTTGAGTAATAATTATTATATCCTTGTTACTTTATAGATTTAACAGATATTTATTGTTACTTTATTAACGTTTTTACGCTCATACTGTCAGCTATAAACGGCTACTGCTATGATTTTCCTTGTTTATGAGCTTGTTGCTGGCCTAATTTAGAATTTTTTTTAAACAAGTTCTTAAAAATGCTTTAAAAAAGAGAGATAGAGAAAGGGACCCCAGGACCCGTGCTGGCTCTCGACGCTCCTGCCTACACTTAACGCTGATGTGATTAATGCTTATTAGCTGATTTCTTCATAATTTTATAAGTATTTACATATTTATCTATTGAAAAAAATATGTAAATTTAATCTATGCATCTTAGTGCTGGTAGAAAATTGTATTTAACATTAAGAATAGTTCAGAAAAAATATAAATTAACTTGTATTATGTATCACGGGAAGTATAATTCTGTAGAAAAAAGTAACTATTGCATTAATATCTGCACGTCTTTAAAAACATCATTTATTGTTATAGCAACTTTCTGTATTATGAAAAATATATATTTTTTTAAAAACTTGTCACCAAGGGATTGTTTGTTTAGAATTTCGCGCAAAGCTACACGAGGGCTATTTGCGCTAGCCGTCCCTAATTTAGCAGTGTAAGTGCCTGGGAAGGCAGCTAGTCCTCACCACCCACCGCCAACTCTTGGGCTACTCTTTTACCAACGAATAGTGGGATTGACCGTCACATTATAATGCCCCCACGGCTGAAAGGGCGAGCATGTTTGGTGGGACGGGGATGCGAACCCGCGGCCCGCAGATTGCGAGTCGAGCGTCCTAACCACCTGGCCATGCCGAGCACTTCACCAAGAGAAGCATCACACATCTACTAACAACCATAAATCACAGCATCATAATAATATTAACATGAAGCTTTACTCGGATACTGTCAACAATATATTTCACAGAAAATATCATTCATGTTAACAACGAGAAGCCCTCCAGCGGTAAGTCTAAAAACTATTAACAGAGTTTCGATGCCCATGGTGGGCACAACGAAAACATTTTATTGTGTAGCTTTGTGCTTAACAACGAGAAATAACATTAAACATTATCCTTTCACAAAAGCGATAAATCACATAACATTTCTTTACTGTGGTATTTTACATCTTCGACTCGACAAAGAAATAAGAAGCTGGGATATACATTTATCGAATGAAACAACTACGTGGTTTCTAAGACTGGTAAAAATAGGGTTGGTATTCTGTGCTGCAACTACAGGACAAAATCTGAAAATAACTTCACTAAACGATCATATCTGACCAAGAAATATTTTTGCTTAGAACAACATTATAATTCTTAGCTTCGCCAGACTTTCCAGAATACAATGTTAACATACAAGCCCCACTAAAAAAAAAAGGGGGGGGGGGAGAAACCAAAGTTTCCAACTTCTCTAACTCTAGGTATAACAAACTGACTTGAAAATTCATCACGGTTAGCTCAACAAATTATCAAGCAAGTCAGCCAACCGTGAAAAATAATCAATTCTGAGGCAATGCTTAGGAATCAGTGTGGCAAAGTCTCTAAGGGCAGGATTAGCAAAGTTCAAAGTGGAACACATCCTGTTCGCCTACAACTTGTAAATAAATACAGAAACGTGTATGTATTTTAAAGAACTGCTTGAATAAAAATGTTCATTTGCTAAGTTACAGGATTACTCAGCTTATATCTACATATAAAACTATCAACAGTTGAACATTACATGTAACCATTATTAAGAATTGTTTATCACTGTAAGCGTAATTTTTCTGTTAATAAATTTATATCGTGTGTCGCTTCATTACTCTGTTAACAACTGTGATCTACAAGACGTGTCGGCTCTTTATTAATCAACTGTAACGTAGGGGAAACAATGAACTTGAATTAACAACGGAGAGACACTAGAAATGTTACTATTTTATTCACAACAGTGAGATACATGGAATATAATTTTTTGTTAATTGTAAAATGCAGGAGTTGTAAAGCCTCTACTAACTATTCGAAAAATGACCAACAAGTGTAGTGCTGGCGTTTTGTTTCCATTTTAGTTTTGTTCATTACATGTTTGTTTTATATTTCTTTCCAAAATCATGATAACTTTTTAAGATGAAAGTGTCTGCTTATTCATTCTCTACTTACTCCACAATTGTGCAAAACACAAGATCAGCATGAAAGGTACACTCAGTGTGTCTGCGGACTTACAACGCTATAAGCCGGG